ATTTACGTGGAGAAATTCGGCATGTGACAACATTCCTTTGACACGCAAAATAATCTACGAAGAATTTAAGAGTTATATATGTTAAGCAATATGATTCTGCTTTACTCAAAATGTCAATCTGAAAACCAACGACTGTGATACACAATTCTGTAATGTACATTTCAATAAATGCAAAGATTTGTTCTTATTTTCATACGCTCATTTAATTAGATTAAAATTGTAACACAGTGACATCCTATGTAATGTTTAAGGCTCCAATCCTTGAGCAAAAAAATTTCCATTGCCATGTTCATGGAGAAAATTAATTTGTCATCAGCACGATATGAAGTTTCTTCGTGCAATGCGGAAAGAAAGGACCCCAAATGCTGGAACAGAACTTGATAACCCTTTCACATATTTCCTTATAACAACTTTCCCCATGAAAATATTAAATATTTTCTTTCGACTTGCTATTAACACAACATATTTGTCAAAGCTCTGTCTGTGTGTGAATATGTTGCACTGGGCGGAATCTTAAAAGAATCTACGTGATTAACTCAATATTTATTTATTTAAATATTTTATGACACAACGCCAGCAAGGAGAGGTATTCAACACCAGATTTAGAAAAATCTCAAATTCTAAACAATGTTTTGAATTTCTTCATGGGCCCAAAGTTAAAATCATACTTACTAAATTGATATGCAACCCCCAGCATGGGAGGGGCACAATGTCAAGTAGAGGAGTATTTACCTACTGGGGTGATGTATAGCGAAGACTTAGTCTCGGCACCTCCAAGCCAGCAATGAAGGCCCAGGAGGAATCCTGAAATTATGGCAGATTTAGATCTGGCGAAGCTGCAACAGGTCCAGCAAATCGGCAGTAGAATGAACAGGAAACTGCTTTCAACACATTAAAAACCCTAGGGAAGAGGCTTTATATGACGACCCACAACTAAGCGGACGCGTCGTAGAAAGAAGAAACTGACATGCTATGTGCTACAAAATTATTTTCTTTCCCGGCGGTGCCCGGATTTATAACTTGTGTTGGGCAAGGCTGTGGTCTAGGCAACACGGAGTTTTCCTCCGTGGCATCCCAACAATTACTCCATTCACACACAGAAGAAGGCAATGGCAAACCACTTCTGGATCATCTGCCAAGAACGTATATGAACAGGTCCCAGTCCGAGAAAAGGATGGAAGGATCCTGTTCATATGGACCTGTCGTCAGACAGAACACTAGATAAATAAAATAAAAATAAACCAAAATTTATTCAGCCTGTAAGCAAGATATAGTACTGTAATCATGTTTCATGAGACAGACCTTGAATAACTTGATAGCAATCATCAGGCAAACCATTAAATTTCTTCCTGCATTGTCTATGAGGCATGTTATGATCTGTACTGGCTAATACAAAGAGATTTCTTCTTACTGAAAACTCAAAATTATTTACACTGCTTCTGGCCAAGTGCTGGGTCAGGGGTGTAGCCCCAACTGAGGACACAGATTATAATAAAATACTGCATACTTGAGCTTGTCACACACCTGTGGTGATGGTAGACAAATAGTGATTTATGTGAAATGGTGACTGGCAAAAAAAAATGAAAAACTTGAAAAAAAAAAGCCCACACAACTACCAGGTAGACATGATTTGTCCACAATTATCTTGCGTTACATCTCGGCAAAGTGGCCTGTTTCGTGTTATTATTTTTTTTTAAAAGAATTATCAATTTTTACATAACTCCTGGCCCAACAACAATGCAAATTAATTCATTCTGGTCACTGATTTAATTGGATATCTGACAGTTATACCTCAGTAGTTTCAATTTGTTAGAACTAACCCAATCACCTCTAATTTGTTTAAAAAGCAAGGTTTCAGAAACTACATGTTTCCACCTTTGAGTATGGGGGAACCTAATCTGAAAGAGCAATAATCATTGCAGCAATCACATTAAGCATTAGTATGTGACTGTTTAGTTTAAAAAAAGTATAGCATCTGGCACATTATTATTGCAACTTGAATGTAGGTGACATGACCAAATAATTTATTTATTAATAAATCGGCAACACTCTTAGACAAATGGGAACAAAAGAGAATCTACCATATGTTTAAAATACCTAGCTACTGCATTTCCTTATGCTATGCAAAACTTCTAGGTGCTTCATTATGGCTGGATCTACACATCTGTAACTTCCAAGGAACTGTTTAACCAACAGGCTCAAAACTGATTTCCTGAAACAGTAATCAAGAGATATGCTAGTCTGGCTTGGGTTGATGCTTAATGTACTCCCACTGGAATGCAGAAATACAGATGACAAAGCAGATGCCACCCAGCAGAGCTTCGGGGATTAACTATCTAGTGCATACCTGGTCTCCGATGGACGCAAGGCAATCACACCCACATAACCTCACACATTCCGTTCACGAGTAGCTACATGGGGGGGGGCACACAGTCTTTGCGACACAAACCTAACCTCACAAAATAACTATATAGCTTCATGGCCAAGAAAACCATGATTTTCAGAGAGGGAAAAAATTTAAATGATAAATTTTCAGAAGTACCACTAGTCACACAACACAACACAGGAAGAATAGGCCATTTTCTTCTTAGACAGGCACGCCAACCTGACAAACTGGAAAGGAACCCACGTGTTGTGGACGATACAGAAGTATATAAAATTCACAAGAAATTATAAATACATCCAGACAATTGCTTGCTACATCCATCAATAACGAAATGCATCGTGAAGCACTTGCCAATCGATTTCATAACCACATATCTCGGAAAATGTAACCTATCCATTTGCGTAAAATTAGCCAAGGCTCTGAGATGTAGATGTAATTATAAGGATTTCATTATGAAGTAAAAATTCTGTGGGTATGAATTAGTATCATATACTGAAATTATTAAGAGAAGACCTCTAAGGGACTTTCATGTACATGGCATGCTGTTTAGTCATGAGCTCGTAAACAGGATATTCCACTGTCCACCACTCGCACGGGAGAGAAGCCGTTAGAATGTAATGAGTGTGGTCACAAGTTTGCTAAAAGTTTAAAGTTACATATGTGATGACATGTAAACATTCCTTCAGAACAAGTATAAAAGTGGATAGAAAAGTTTTTTCTGTACAAAATAAAGTTATGAAAATTAAAACTAAAGGTTTATATTGTTGGGAAGGCTCCCATCTTACACGAAAACACATATACAAATTAGTGATGAATCAATGCTTTTTTTTTTGTTATCCCAATGCCACTGAAAGTAGATATGTGACTGGTAGGTAATGCATAAGGAACAGCCTTTTATATCACCTTTAAGTCAAGCATTTAAAGGATCCTCATTGCAGTTCTGTATGTCAGTAAGAACATGCTGCATTAGGCTAGGCTAGCTTTGGTTAGCTGGTTCCACTTTGTTATCTTATTATCTTTATGCCAATGAAATATGTGTTACTATTTAGGGCTAAAGTTGCTGCCTTAGAGGCTTTTCAAAATAACACATTTTTGCTTGCAAAACTTATGTGGTTAGTACATTTTATATACACAAAGATATTCAACCAAAACCTTTTATGTGTTTATTTTGATACTAGATTAATTGCAATAAAAATGTGTATATACAGTATTTTGTGTACAGACACATGTCCAGTAAGGTCTTATAAATTAATTGATATTAAGAGAATCAAGATTTTGGAAAGGAGTACACTTTACAATATACTGACTTTCTGAACTTCATTGATAATATGTTACAAGACACACCTGAAGATGTAGAATGCAAATTAACAAAATTGAATTCTACAAATTATGAGCTGGGTATCCTAGCAATTTAGGTAACAAGAAGATATTTCAAGGAGTTGCTGATATCCTGGATGATGATATAAAAATAACAGAATTCCTTCATGTTTTGTCACACAACACTCCACATTATTCAAAAAATATATCGGAATGTTGTACAACATTGGTTCTAACAGCTGCTGCAAAGTCACAAAGTGCAATCTCTGGTGGACATCTTGAACCCCGTGCTATTTCCTTTATGAAGGCCGTAGCCTTTTGACAGGACTTCTCTGTACATGTGCGTACGTACCACAACGCTGCATAGCTCATTATGTATTTTTATCTGATGATATAAACGCATAGAAAATAAGCTATTTTCCAAACACTGACTTGCCACATTGTAGCAAAAATGTCACGGGTAATATTTACAACATAAACAAAGTCTTTGAAGTTTAAATTATTCACTCCATCACTTCTCCACTACTTGGTATTTCAACCAGTATGCACACGAGAAAGATGACTTTTAAGTTTGACAAGTTCTGTGAAGCTTCATTCACATACAACACAACCATATGGTTTCACCCCGTGTGGATACCATAACGCCTTCTCAGTTTTTCTCGCACTGGAAACTACTTATTGCATACATCACAATTATACGGTTTCTTCCCCTGTGTGTATGCGTTTGTGCGCGTTGAGATGTCCGCCCTGAGAAAAACTTCTATTATATACTTCACAAGTGTAAGGCTTTTTACCTGTATGGATAAAACCGTGTATCACAAGATTTTCTTTCTGTGAGAAATGTTTATTGCATACTTCACATTTGTAAATCTTCACTTCAGTATGAGTGCGATAATGTTTCTTCAAATCATCATTCCTTGAAAAGTTCTTGTTGCAAACATCGCATTATCACATTTGTACTGTTTCATTTCCATGTGTGTTGTACGATGCACTGCGTGAGAACTTTGCATACACACATTGCATTCAAAGGCTTCTCACCAGTGTGCATACGGTAATGATTTTTGAGAGGTTTGTACCACTGGTGTTACCGATCAGGCATTCGCGTTTAGTGAGCTTTGGCTGTGACGTCACAACATGGCGGATACGTTTCGTCAGAATTTAGAAGTAATATATGTATTTGCAGATAAAGTAAATTGATATATAATTGTGTTTGCATTTCAGATTTATATGCAAAATACAATTGTACTTATTGTCAGGATGATATTACAGGAAGTGGGATTAAATGTGCAGTGTGTGCAGTGTACTTTAGAATGTCTGCAGGTAGGCCAATAACCGGCGGGCAAGAATGGTTTTAATTGGAGAGTGGGGCGGAGACCTCGAAACTGTTTTCATGTGCTGTGGTATGTTGGAAAGCTTGAGGTATGCGGCATATCATAATTCAAATACATGACAAAAATGGTCACAAAACAGTTCGTAATCTTTGTAGCTGCATATCTTATGCAAAAAGGTATTTCAGGTTTGCTAATTTTTGTTGCCTTCAGGTTTGTTACGTGAACTCAAATGTAGATGGTTTCTCATCAGAAATGTTTTATTGGTATAGAGCTTATAAACTACTGGAGTAGAAACAGTGTTGTAAGTTGCATGAGTTAAATAACATGCTATCTAACTAACTCCCTGGTATCAGAACTTGCAGGTCCAACACCAACAACACTAAAGCCTGCCAGCAGACATGATCCTTACTTTCATGTAAACAACTTATATCTTAATTGTCATATTTTTAATGGGAATTGTACCTTCCTCTGGAATTAGAATAAGAAATATGATTTTTTTTGGCTTATTATGAGTTCCCTTGTGTAAAAACAATTTTGTTTTTTTACAGTTGCATGTACTGGACAGACTGGGGAGATATTTGAAAGGCTGGAATGGATGGCTCACACCAATGATTCACTGGGCTGGCCAAATGCTCTGACCATCTCATATGAAGCAAATGAACTATTTTGGGCAGATGCAAGGGAAGATTATATCGCAGTCTCAGATTTATAAGGCATGAACAGGAAGCAGAGGTAACAACTGTTGCATTGTATATATATTAGTGATTCTACTAAGGTTTGTGGGAGTCGTTGATTTATGGTAGGAATGTTATGGCTGGATATTGTCCTGATGTACACCATGTTTAGTTAATTTGGTATCTTATAGCTTCCTCCAATGAATATGTGTTTCTCCCTCATCATCTTTCACAAATTTATGGAACTAGGATTTATTTTTTCCTTATTAAAATATAAAGGCAATTCCAATGCACAAAAGTTCAATAACATGAATTCATTCTATACTCTCGTCTGCACGATTACTGTGGATTTTGTTCTGGCATGTAGCAAACAGTGAAATTAAATTTTTTCTGTATTCTTTTCAGTTTGACTGTAACAAAAATTGGATTCAGACTTACTTAGAAAGTTGATTTTTATCATGAATTTATTCTGGAGAAGCTTATTGTTGTTGTTGTTGTTGTTGTAAAGTCAACATAAGAGTGAGTATGATCTTCACAGACCAGTTGCAATCCTCAAAGTATATTAGGAAGTTTTTATTACATTGAAACCTGTGGTATTTTGATATTAAACAATTAAAAATCATGTTTTGTTCAAAGTGTATTGTACTCTCAGTTGCTTCTGGGTTCTGTTTTTGTGTACACTGATTTATTGCAGATTTTGTGTTCCTAAGTTGTGTGCCTGCTGTATTTTTATTGTACTATGACTCGTTCCACATATGGGTGATTTAGATAAGTTGAATGCGTGTTATCTGTGTGACAGACGTCGTTATGGATAATGCACGTGAGTCTTAGTATCGCTGTTGGTGCATCATTTTAATGTATACTTTATAATATGATTTGTTTCTATCTAATAACATTTCTTGTCTCTCTGTTATGAAGATGTAATACATATATGATAAGTTCAGTTTACTAATAGTTTTGACAGTAAAATTAAAGATGGAGTTATTTATATTTAGTCGGATCTTAAGAATATAGACTTCATGCTTGACTGTTTTAAGACATTTTGACTTTATGTGGATTATCTGGCTTTGGCACTACAGATTAATAATGTTATTCTTGACGGATGCATTCCTGGCAGTGTTACTATTGGAACTTGACTGACAATGTGAGAGAAATAGTGCAGCTGGGTTGAAGAAAATGAAAATCGGTTTCTGCGTTACAGCACGGGAAATCGTATGATTTCTCATTGGCTGACATTTGGCTTGGTTAAGTTTACTCAAATGCAGACTACATTTTTCTACATACATAACCTTAAGAAATTGATGGTTCCAATGATTTTGTTCACTATAATGTACTTCTTGTTATAAGTTGTACTTGTTCTCTGCCACTTTCTTTGTGAGAGCAAGGAAAACCACAGAAAATATCCTTCATCATGGCTGGTATCCATCTTAGATTTGAAGTGGTACATTCCATCTGAATTGTAATAGGAATTTTTGTAATATCAGTTTTTATTCCTGTGGAAATGACGTGTGCATTTTAGTATGCCACAGTTATTATGCCAAATCTTTGTTAATAGAGAATGGAAATGTGATGGAGACACAGACTGCAGTGATGGTTCTGTTGAAGCCAGTTGTAATGATCCCTAAGCATGTACTATAGAAAGTGTAGATCTCAGTGGACAAGATCATCACGTCATCAGAAGATTCCCACATAGTAAGTCTTGAGTATCGTGACAGGATTCCAAAGGATCTAATTTATGTAGGATTTGTGATTTTTATGGTAGCGAGTGTGAATATGGCTGTCTTCTGGGTTGTTGCGCCGTGTTGTCTGGTAGAAGGTTTCCGACGTTTCAGAGGTCCTTGTTGCCTCCATCATTATGGTGATCGCGTCAACCAGGCTACATGGCGCGTGAACCCAGAAGACAGCCATCTTCAATCAAATTAATGGCTTAATTTACTTTACGTTAAATAGTATTAAAAATATATTAAAATTAGCCGTCAATCACAATATAAAATAATTAAAAGATTAAAATATCATTTTACGTTCCTTATCGAGTACTCGATTTACATGTGGAACATATACGACATGTTTCGACTATATATAGCCATCATCAGGTGTTATGTTATAAACTTTTCAACTGAATTACTGATTTTTACTGATTTTTAATGATTTACTGATTTATAACATAACACCTGATGATGGCTATATATAGTCGAAACATGTCGTATATGTTCCACATGTAAATCGAGTACTCGATAAGGAACGTAAAATGATATTTTAATCTTTTAATTATTTTATATTGTGATTGACGGCTAATTTTAATATATTTTTAATACTATTTAAATAAATCACAATATGACACATCTACAATATCTTACTTTACGTTGTTTATTGCGACAGATCTGTAGTTCCTTGGAGCTGCTTTCGATTGTTTTTTAAGTTTCTTGCTTTTGGCCATTAGTGTGAAACTAATCTGCACATTTCGCTCTGGATTTGTCGTTTTACATCTATAGAGTTCAAAAACATAAGTGTGAGCAAACTAAGATATATGAATGATTCTTCTTTAAAGACTCAGAAAGCAAGCTGGTACATTACTTTCTATTCAGAATGTTACTTCAGTGAATGTAATACTATTCTCCATAGCATAAATATACTTCTTAATTCTTACTTGTGTAGCACTCATCCTAATCCAGAGGGTATGGAGTTCAGTACCCTGGGGACCTGACATGGCCGGTAGCCTGAGAAGAATTCATTATACTTAGTTGCCATGAAAGTTTTACATCATACAAACTTATATTTGTATTTCTTGATGGAGAAAGCTTTATCACATAAGTATTTAAAGGTATTGTACGTATTTTGAACCGAATTATATTGTTTCTTCCTTTATCTTTTGTCTGTTTTATTTATTCTCTTTTTATAGGGAGCAGGGAGACATAAGTTTGAAGAAATTTTCGTCATTTCTGTTTATGTGCCTGCTACACTTAGTAAGGATCACATACGAATCTGTGTAGAATCTTTGCAAGCTACATGGTCATTTGTTTGCAGGTCGACAGTCTGGCCACTGTGGTACTGATCAATTCAAGTGTGCTGACAAGAACTGCGTTAGCAGCAAATTCCGCTGTGATGGATCTAATGACTCTGGAGATGGTTCTGATGAAGAAGACTGCATTCTACCACCATGTTATTTTGGAACCTGTTCACAGAGCTGTGTAGAAAAGAAGGGAGGGAGGAAACTTTTCTTGCCACTGCGCTCCAGGCTTCATAGGGGAAGGAACATCGAGGAACAGGACTTGTTTTGCGAGAGGTAACATTTAGTTCAATATCAGGTCTTCAAGACCTCATTTCTGTCGAGACAAACGCAGAAATATTTTAGGGCTGAGGGGCATCATGATTTGTCTAATAGATTGCTGATGACAGCTTCTGTGCTCTCTTAACTTATCCCCTTGTATTTTTATTCATCAGATATAACTTTATTAAAAAATCTTCTTTTCCATCCTATCTAAATACAAGTTAACTAAAATATGTGAAACTAACATTTTACTTGTAGTTCTGTATGGGTGTAAAACTTGGTTTCTAACTCTACCAGAGGAGGATATGTACATGTAAAAAAGATTTTGATTTTCTGCAGGTAATTCTGATGTATACGTACATGTAATTTTTCATTGTTTCCAAATGTAGGCAAATGAAGACTGACACATCTTACGTCAAATTCATGTTTAATGTTTGCACTTTCCGGGGAAAAACCTGTCCACTTCATTGTTGCTGCTGAAATGGATCTAAGAGACCTGGTGAAAACTCTCTAATCCATGCCCTTAGCAAATCATTTAATGACCGTGGTCAAAAAGTGGAGTCAGTGGATATATTATGGGATCTAACAAAGCCAAACTACATTCTGGTCTGACCACCACGGCAAGATGATCAGGAGGTCTTATTTCTATGATCTGTCCTCAACATCGAATCAAACCCCAGTCGCGGAGAGTGCAGCGAGATGAGTGTTTTAAGGATCTGATACTTTTCTGAAACTTACATGAAATTTAAACAGATGTGAAACTTTGTAGCCTGAAATTTGAATGGTACGCTGTAGCATGCTCATCCATGTCTCACATTTTTCAGCAACAATGGTCCAAGTGGTCATTGTTATGGCTATTGCTTCTATGCCTACAGACATTGTTGTTTTTGCTTTTTATTTTATTATTGTTGTTGGAGGTGGTTTTGGTGTCTGTAATCTTATCGAAACGCAGACTTTTGTCGTGGTACCATTCTTCTATTGGGTTTAGTTCACGAGCTACAGAAACCATCTTTATTTGGGACTTGAATCCAGAAGCTATCCCGACTGTAGTTTTTCATTATTTTCTGAAGTTTCTCCAGGGTTAGAATTCCGAAATTGACAGCCTTGTAATTTTGATTTACATTGCAAAGATATATCTTTGAGAGACTTTTTCCCTCTGCCTTCCCTATATTACACAACTGTATCTCAATATAATGAAGGTAATTATAAAAATATCATCTCCCAACAAACTTTAAGGAAGTTAAAAAGTTTCTCGTAAATCTAAGCACCATGCAATGAAGATGTGGGAGTTGAGAAGTAATCTAATATTTTGACACCAGGTCACTAATTGTGGTGAGTGGTTAGCTTAAGCCATTCTGCAGGTGGTTGCAAACAGGAAAGGCCTTGCCTCACTTGGGAGGATAGCCAGTAGCCAGTCACATAACCAATTTATCGTTCTTGGTTATCACATTAATGATGTTAGTTTGCATATTCATTACAACTACATTTTAAGGAAACAAGCATTTCTTGAATACATGACACCAACATTTTATAGTGACAGAAATGTAACTAAGTCCAACTTTCTTAGGTTTTGAAAAATCTGAGCAGAGGGCTCCGAATTTCTCATTGTGTCGCTCATTCTGAATTTTTGTCTCGAATATGTTTCAACAATCCAAGCAGTGGGAATTCATTTACCTGCAAATGGTATAGAATGTTTTGAATCCGTCCGTCTCTCGATCAGCCATTTCAGAAGTGAATGTATATGGTTATTTTCAGGCATCAAAAGAAGACAGTCATCTTAATATGTCATGATGAGAAAAAACTCATATCCTACACGGTTTATGTAGCGTCGACCAAGTAATGAGTAACATGTTTTTAGAGGATAATAATTTTATGAAGTATAGAAACAGGAGGTCATAAAAATAAAATGTGTGGGCTTAAATTATGGTTTCTTTCAATGCTAGTAGGCGACTACACCACGGTTTTTTCTTCTTTTTATTCTTCATTAGTTTGTAGTGCATTCGTGTAATATGAATTATCGCTGTAGAAATTTGTGACGTCGACAGACATTTTCTTTCCTGAAATACGGAATGCAAATGTCGTCATGATCTGTAAAGACAATTACGTAAGTAATGTAATGACCGATATAATGCTGGACTTCTAATTGCATATATTTAGCAAAATTATGTGACAAACATAATCACGTTTCATGTTCCTGAACACAGCAGCCTCGAGAGTGGAAAGTCAAATGAAAACAATTTTGGTACGTGCACCGTCAGTTTATAAAACTGCAGTTGTCTTTGGTACTGTTGCATTACGCCAACCGAAGCTTGTTCATTGGTGCTGATAGCGGCTTCAGATCTTGAGTTGTGTTGCGGATTATTCCTGTAAACAGTATTATAAGAAGAAATTGCATGGGTTGAGTTTTGAAGAGTACACTGGCCAGTACCAGCCATAAGAAAAACGTGAAGGAAACTGATTATTCAGAAATTGGTCAATGGAAATGTTGATTGAAAAAAAGTAGGATTTCAGAGTCTCATGACAGTGAGCATGAAGATGGCTGTCTTCTGGGTTGTAGTACCGTGTAGTCTGGTAGATGCTGACTGATATACCAGACTACACAGTGCTACATCCCAGAAGACAGTCATCTTAATATGTCATGATGAGAACCTCAAATCCTTTATATTGATAATTGTTTTAATTTGTCGAGAAAGACTATGGACAACGTGCGGCACATAATTTCTTCTCTTCACTACTGAAGTTGAACGACTCTAGCAGGCTGGGAAAACCCTTTCACTACAACACACAATATCTTGTTCAAGACTGCAACTTTATTTGTTCATTTTTTAGTGGTCTGTTGTCTTCAGGATTTTCAGCTTACAGTGGCAGGATATGTGCCAACTATGAATACAGAATTTTTTTGTTATTTCTCATAGGCTTATGTTCCGGTGTGAACGGTCGTATTGATTCAGCGTATATGGACGGAACTGGGCGTCATTCACTTGTGGATACAATGGAACAGTGGCCAACTGGACCTGCAGTAGACTACCCAGCTAGAAGACTATATTGGACTGATCCCTAAGCATGTACTATAGAAAGTGTAGATCTCGGTGGACGAGATCGTCACGTCATCAGAAGATTCCCACATAGTAAGTCTGAGTATCGTGACAGGATTCCAAAGGATCTAATTTATGTAGGATTTGTGATTTTTATGGTAGCGAGTGTGAATATGGCTGTCTTCTGGGTTGTTGCGCCGTGTTGTCTGGTAGAAGGTTTTCGACGTTTCAGAGGTCCTTGTTGCCTCCATCATTATGGTGATCGCGTCAACCAGACTACATGGCGCGTCAACCCAGAAGACAGCCATCTTCAATCAAATTAATGGCTTAATTTACTTTACGTTGTTTATTGCGACAGATTTGTAGTTCCTTAGAGCTGCTTTTAAAGTAATGGCTTAATTTACTTTACGTTATTTATTGCGACAGATTTGTAGTTCCTTGGAGCTGCTTTCGATTGTTTTAAGTTTCTTGCTTTTGGCCATTAGTGTGAAAGTAATCTGCACATTTTGCTCTGGATTTTCGTTTTACATCTATAGAGTTCAAAACATAAGTGTGAGCAAACTAAGATATATTTATTAAGTTATGAATGATTCTTCTTTAAAGACTCAGAAAGCAAGCTGGCACATTACTTTCTATTGAAAATGTTACTTCAGTGAAGTTATGCTATTCTCCATAGCATAAATATACTTCTTAATTCTTACTTGTGTAGCACTCGTCATGTCTGACATCAGAAAAATGTAAATTCTTTTTTTACTTTTACAGAGGAGAAACCTTACAAAGTGGAAGTGTTTGAATACAACCTGTATGTTAGCACATACCAGACAAACATCATCTCTAAACTGAACAAGTTTAGACGTGGTGATCTGACATACCTTTACACAGGGACTGAATAGAGCATCAGACATCCTTATTGTTTGAGAAAACAAACGAATGAACACTAAGTTTCTAAGCACAGTCTTTACCTGGGAGATAAATAGATTGATTTTCTCCCACAAGGCTCATGATTTAGGATGACAGTTCAGCACACAAATTCTACTATAAGAAATAGTGTGGAGATATTTTGTTTCATATATTGCTCTTCGCCACGATTTGCAGAATGGTTCTGGGGCCACCCAGTCTCATCTACGGTGGATATTGGTATCTCTCTCCCCAAGATGTAAAGCAACTACAGTGTGAAGCTACGATCCTCCAGCCGGTGCTATACGTCTACAATGCATGGGGCTAATCCTAGAGCCTAAAGTACGCTCTCATGGAATGAATTGTAGTCACAGACACAACTTATCCTTTATTTCCTACATTTAGCATTTTACATATCTTTCTAATTACCAAAGAGTTGAATTTTTTAAAATACAAGTTGCAGTCATTAATTAAATTACTTTCTCTCGAAACTTTTTATTATGTGTCTTTTATATACAGGCATGCCTCGTTTTATTGCGCTTCGCAGATATTGCGTTTTTTTACAAATTGGATGTTTGTGGCAACCCTGCGTCGAGCAAGTCTATCGGCACCATTTTTCCAACAGCATGTGCTCACTTCGTGTCTCTGTGTCACATTTATTAAAATAAATATAAATTAGTATTGGATGTTTGGCATTGTAGCAGCATTTCACGCGATTTTAATTGTGACCCGGAGAGAGTTCATAGTGCCAACAAGGTTTGTTATATATTAAAGGTTAGCAGGGGTATAGAGAAATAAGGTTTGAACTGAACTGAAATGTAGGTAGGGCAGACATGACATGTCTTCAAGGTGTTCTGCAAAGCAGTGTCTGTGAAGTGTCCCTAAGGGGGACTAACGCAGCCAGTTCTGCCATAATTTGAATATTTCCCTCAACCCAACAAGGAAAAATGGCTAACTGTGCAGTGTCTGTAGCATATGTACTTTCATCCATGGAAACAGAATTAACAACACAATTTAAGCACTTGGACATTAAGGCACAAAACATATTTCTGAATAACTTTTCTATTTCCCGTGCTTTTATATCTTTTAATAAAATGACGTTTGAGATTGTTTGCTTCAAACTGGACAAGTAATGTCAGCAGTGCACTGAAGGCATGCCTTCATATGTGAAGCCCCTATATAAAAGATGTATGTGTCTATTTGCTATGTTTACTTTGTCTTTGGAAGTTAATAGTACAAGGAAATGATGATGTTACATGGGCCACCATCATGCAAGTACTGTGATGTAGCCACTGTTATTACCAATCACAAAATTCGCTGTGCATTTCATGTAGCCAATAAGTCAACAGTTGTATTCGGCTAAGTATTTAATCTTGGTTGTAACCAGTTTTATCATACAGACTGATAAAAACCAGAAGATCACAAAAATGCATATGGGTTGTACAAAACACATCAGGGGGGCTGTGGGTTGATAACCTCTGGTTTAAATGCTGTATTCCTATATTTGAAATGGACAGCCATTTTTTAAAAAAATATGCTTTAATTTGCTATACCTGTAACTGGTTCTTGCAGGTGCAAAACTTTTTGAACATATTATATAGCATTTATAATTGGATAGGATTTTTGGATGTCTGTTAAACCAGACAAATGATTGTAAATCATAACAAAAATTGGTGCCTGATGACATATACATAGAGTATGCTTAATATTCTAATCAGAATCTGAAATTAATTAATACTGACAGATGTCATCATTCATACTGGTGCTATAATGTAAGTCGTGACTGCTTCCTCTCAACAACCGTTTATATTTGTCTCGTCATGTACTACTGTTGTAAATAGCGTTCCACAAAGACTGAATGTTGTTTAAACTTACAGTGAGTAATCCATGTTATCGATCCCTGTGCCACAATTCAACTCTTTGTCCGCTGGGATCGAGCCGGAGCCACACAGAGCTAGGCTATTCTTGCGTGTGCCCAGATGGTTTCGTGAAAACCATTGCTAGGTTTTGAATTTGCAACAGCCACCCTGCAGTTACCTTACTGCTCAAGATATATAGTTTGTTCAGTAGTACAGTATTTTAATACCTTGTATTTAATAGGATAAAGAATATTTTTATTTTGTGTTTAACATAAAATACCACCATGTGAGATGAAAGGTTTTCACAGCAGTGAGAACGATGTTTTCTGGTTTTGATACTGTGTAGAATCGGAATTTTGCTGTATTTTATTTCATTCAATTGTTATTATAGGACTTTGAATCACTATAAAATGGTATTAATTTTGTATTATATGAAAATACTACGAAACTATTATTGCAATTAATGGAGTTAACACATATCATTGAATTTTCATTAAATTTTTGTTTAAAACTGTGTACTACTACTACTACTTATTAAATATTTTTCATGAAATTTACAGTTTCAAAATGTAATGTTCAGTAATACAGCAGTACCTACTAGTTATCAGTTTATTGTTGTATTATTAGTGGTACTTAAAATGGAATAGGTCCTGGCAATTGAAACAATATGCACAGTGCATTGTTATTGGTTACAGCAAGAGGCAACTGAAAGTGTGTCAATTCTGTAGGATTACGCACTTAGCTAATGAGAAGACTTGGAGTCAGAGTTAATGAATTCAGTCATTAAACACCATATTTACTACTGAGATTCCCTTTACTGAGATTGTAACAAAGTGAAAATATATTCTAGTACCGTATGTATACTGTAATTAGTATGTGATTTCTCTTTTGTCAGGTTGTGTGCGAACCAACTGTGAGACCTCTGAAGGTGTGTGACTTAGACTGCCATAAAGGAAGACTTGGACACTCAGGAAGAAGGAACAGAAATACCTGGAGAGTTTCGAAATGTGGTGTTGGAGAAGAATAGAGAAGATCAGGTGGACGGATCGAGTGACCAACGAAGAAGTATTGAGGAGAGTCAACGAGCAAAGAAACATTCTGCAGGCGATTACACGAAGGAAAGCTAACTGGCTGGGACATATTATGAGAAGGAATGGGTTACTGAGGGATATCACCGAAGGCCAGGTTGAAGGAAAGCGAGGACGGGGAAGAAGACTGATACAGCTAACCGACGATCTGAAACAAGGAAAGAAGATGACGTTCCAGGAATTAAAACGAGAAGCCGAGAATAGGGAAAACTGGAGAGCTCTTTTTGGGCAGAGCAATGGACCTGTCGTAAGACAGAACACTAAAGAATAATAATAAAGGAATGTGTAAGATTGTGCACGTTGTTCGTACGTGTAAATGACAGTCATTGTACAGTGGTGACAGGTGTCAGCGCTACCGCTGTTCACAGTATTGTAAAAACAAAGACCTGTGCTCTGCAGACATTTTGGTCACTTTATCAAGTGACTCTTCACCTCCACTTAAGGTAATTTACACTTGAGCTTTATCACATAATCAAACATGTAGGATGCTCTTGTCTGATCATTCTCATAGTTCATGTTCCAAACCATTTGATTTCCTAGAAGTGAAGTGTTTGGCTTTTGAACGAGTTTCATTGTAGCCTGAATTGGTTCATTGTAATCGATGGCTTACTGCAGAGACAGTAGATACAGGAAGAAGATTATGTTTCTTTTTAAGGTTCATAAATTTATTTGAAAAGTGTTTTTAATGTATTCTGTATTTAATTGAATACAATGTAAAACGTGTGCTTCATAATCGCTTATTTTTCTGGTCAGTACAATAAATTACAGCTTCTTCAATACCAAGTACCTGATTTTATATTAAAAGAATGTTATCAAGACCAGCTGTTAGAGACAATCTTGAGCCAGTTCTGCATCTATAAATCCTATACTGCTACTACTACTAAATGTCACTGTATAGTAGGATGTGTTTGTATCACAGGTTTTCCTTGGTCTTACGATTCAAATTCTGGGTTAGTATCTCGAACTATGTTGCCACATTCCTCCTCTCTTTTGTTTTTGTGATGTATAAGTGTAGAAAGTAGTGTTATAAATTATCTAAAAAGCACAAGGTTTATTTTTCAGTATCAAAAGCAAGGATCTGCAGTAAGTATTTTTTAACTATTACAATTAAGAGCTGCGTAAAAGGTATGATTTTAGGCAGCACACTTTACTCTTCCAGGACCGGCTCAGGTGAAGTCCATCTTCCCTGTTAAAGTTATCAGGATGAAGTTCGATCTCGATGGCTTCCCTGATTAACCGGTCCATGTAGCCGGTTTTTGAGGAGAGGATAGAAGTGTCCTCTAGCTGTATCTTGTGCTCCAAGTTGAAGCGGTGTTCAGCAACCGCAGATTTCTCGGGCTGCCCGAGCCGGATGTGGCGTTCGTGCTCCTTGATCCTGGCCTCAACGGAACGGCCTGTCTGGCCGATGTAGACTTTTCCGCACTCGCAGGGAACTCTGTATACGCCAGGCGTCTTCAGTCCTAGGTCGTCCTTTACCGGCCGGAGAAAACTGGGAATTTTCTTTGGCGGAAGACCAACAGACTTGATGTCGTGCCTGGCCAGCAACCTGCTTATGCGGTTGAAGGTCGTCCCGACGTAGGGCAGGAAGGCAACCGAGGCTGGTTTTCCAGTAGGCGGTGGCAGCCTCGCAGGCGGATTGAGAGCTTTCTGAATCTGACGGTTGCTGTATCCGTTTTTCCTGAAGGTGGTGGTGAGTGCCTCCAGTTCACTCTGTAGGCGTTTGTGATTGGAAGTAGGTGTAACATATACTTTTACAGATTTGTCGGTTTAATTACAACTAGTCATCTGATACGTAAGAGTAGTGATATTTCGTGTCTGTTAAATGTAATGCAAATGACACTTGTTAATCATAATTGCAATTAGATTTAGGGCTGTAGATACAGTTTTAATTTGAATCATCGTACTAGAGGAAACAATGTTCTTGCCACTGATCTAGGCATTGTAATGTGTTTGTTGACAGCTCTTCGCCAAGTAACAATATTCCCCTCATGCGCATTGTGCAGTCAGCAAAGCACACCGAGGGACGAGGATCGAAGGTACACCTTACCAACAAGGACCGCATGGTGAGTTGAATGTTGAATTGAATATGGGACGTACTGAATGAAGTTGAAGAGAATTAGAATAAATGTCTCGTGTTGCAGCGCAAGAGTCACTACTGTTGCCTGGACACCGAGTCAGTGACTCTATTTCAGAGTGACACAGGCTCCAAATACTTCAAGGAAATTCCACTTGCTGAGATCCTGTCAGTTGGTACTGCTCAAAGTCTTGATGGAGGTGGCTGAAGTTGAATCATTGTGTAGAAGGACAGGAGTGGAAAGGTTTGCTTCAGTGGAGTTCCCAGGTTTGAAATGTGATTTTATGCACTTCATTGATGTTCATTTAATACAGATACAGATCTATTGTTACATTATTTATTGCCCCTACAGATAACACAGGAAGGATTTATTCTTTTGCATCATTAAATGTCCAGCACTTTGAAATTATTAAAATAAAAGTTGTATACATGCTGTATATAATGTAATGTAATTTGACAGTTCTTTTTATGATCTGTTTTGGACAAATTTATTTTAGTTTCATCGTATTGTTGTAATAGATACCTTCCATATATGCGCTCAATTTGTTCTTTGTTTTTTTTTCTATGCAGAAGAACTATAAAAATGCTTATGTTGGCTTTACCAAGTCTGTCCATGGGCAATACTTTGAGAATTGTAAACAATGCTTAACCAAATGATTTCCATGTTTCTTATTCCACATTCTAGGAAAATATAAGAAAAGTCAGCAGTCTCCATGTCGATAGGAATCAGACCGCTTCCTATATTAAACAGATAAATGAAGAAAGAGTACAAGTCACACATAGGAAAGCTGGACTGGAGGCAAGAAATGAACAACGCAGTTCCTTCCACAATTGTTTTCTTCTTTCTGGAGACTCTAATGAAAATGTTTGACCTTGTAAAGAAGTGAAAATGACTAATTTGAACTGTTGCAGGACATTGACTGGTGGAGCATTGGGGTCATCACCTATGAAATGTTGGCAGGCCACGGGCCGTTTGAATCTGATGGCAACGTGAGAGACTTGCAAACGCTCTACACGTAAGTATCGATGACCCAACGAACGTGTTCCCTGCGAATATCAGTCTCGTATCAACAGTTACATGCAGCTAACACATTACTGCCTATTTCAATGCCAGGAAAGCAGGTTATAATAATATTTTAATCATATGCAAGGAAACAAAATGCAAGCACAAACATTATGAAAACAAATTTTGACAAGTACAATTTTCCTTGACTCTTGTACGACCTGCTTCAGAGTTCTCCATGCAAATTACACATAACCAAGCAGTTTACTGGAAACGTCACAGGCATTAGAAATACTAATTCTCATAGCATGATTAATAAGAATGTTTTAAATGATAAATACAATGGACATGTCTTTTACAGTAAAATCGTACTTGACAAACCAGACATTCCGACATGGCTGTCAAAGTACGTGGCAGACGTTGACAAGAATCCAGATTCTCATCTTGATAGCGCCAAAGATGGCGCACTGGACATCAGGTGGCATCCATTCTTTGACGTGAGTTCTTATCCCATGTATGATATCATATAATAAATAAGACGGATTATACACATGTTTCTGTTCTGAACTGTGCTTTGTCCATGCAAATCAAGCACAGAGGCACAGCAGAGCAGTTCATGCCTCCTGACACCATTCTGGGCGATCTCGTTGTTTGGAAAGTTCAGCATAATTTACATTTCCAGGCAAATAAGAATAACTTATGTGATAGGCCTAACACCGCCAGTACATGGGCAGTAAGACCACAGTAAAAGGTTTAGAATATATTGTCGGAGCAGAATTTCAAACGTACCTCTCAGTAAACGCCATACAGTTTTCAACAATTTACTTTGATCCTTGAAGACAAGATTGGATGTCCCCAAAGTTCCTTCCCACTAAAAGCAGTATTGTTAAGTAATGTAACTGCGGTTCAAAGTTTATATCCAAGCAGAAGATTGCCATTCAATTCCTTTTACTTCCTCTATGATTGAAGGGTCTTTTACCTCGAAGCATTCTCTCTTCTACCTCGTCGTACCTTTACTCTGCCATCAACATTGTGGTCCATTTCACTAACGTTTGTGCTTCATCCTACAGGGACTCAAATGGGGTGACGTGATGGCGAAGAAATACCAGATGCCGCGCCCCCCCACCACCATGACCAGTCGGCTCTATAGCGTCCAGTCAGATACGAGACAGCGTCTTCAACCGGAGTGAGGACAATTACGACGTAAGTAAAAGTACTTTGTCTGACATTTTAGTATGTGCTGCATAGTAACGGGATTATATTCGGTGATCCTGTTACATTTGGAACTGGTGTTTCCATGTTTCCTTGAAAATGTTTTAGTAATTAAAAGTTCTATGGCAATTGGACTTATCACAGTGGAAACGGGTGGTGATTTTCTACACTCTGCGCCTAATATTAGCCCCTGTAGTCGAAAACAATCCCGTTACTTGATAGTCTCCTCTATTTGCAGGAACTTGGTAAGAAAAGATTGTTCAGTCTTATGGGCTTTTATTTCGAATGGCACCTTCTGTACAAAGTCAAATTTTTAAATTCGTGTCACCACACTGTGGTGTAATATAAAAACACTTCTTGTATAAGAAGGCAATACAGAAAAAACTCACCTTTCTCTCTCTACTTTCTCTCCCTCTCCCACTCTCGCCCACGTGCTACCATTGGTCCACTCCCATGCCTGCTCCCATTGGCTCGGGGCAGGCTACACCTTTCACTTCCCGGCCTATAAACCCAGCACCTCACACCCTATTGGCATATTCATCGCCCTGATGACGGAGGCAGTATGACCTCTTAAACGTTGGTTAACATCGACCAGACTACACAGCGCAACAACCCAGAAGACAGAAATCTTCATATTCATCGCCCTGATGATGGAGGCAGTATGACCTCTGAAACGTTGGTTAACATCGACCAGACTACACAGCGCAATAACCCAGAAGACGGATATCTTCAAGTAATAAATTGTTTACTGTATGAGATTTCGAGTTCTTGGAGTGACAAATATGAAAATGGTTGTCTTCTGGGGTTTAGTGTGTTTACATTTCCGAGGTGCATACTGCCTCCATCATCATGGTGATCACTAAGACATGTATAGAAAAGTTGAATTACTCATAGGAGCAAGTCAGACATGGCAGAAGCCACATTGGACCACTGGGAGAGGGTGCAAGGATTTGAGTGAGGGGAGTCCGAGAAGGGAACGGATGGATGGAGGGGTGGGGACTCCAGCTTGGCAAAAGGGATGAGGGAGAGCTAGAAATATGGGAGTAGACGGAAAGTGAAATATGTGGAATGAGGATTGGAAGAACGAAAATAAGGAAATGGGGTAAAGGGGAAGAAGAAACTTATGGAATAAATTAAAATATTTTTAAATTAAATGAGTACTGAAGAAATTGGATATAATAACATGCTTTGAAGGGAAGAAACAGTCCTTATGAGGACTGGCGGGGGACCAGCAGGGAAGACAACAGAAAATCAAGGAAATTAATGCTAGTATAAATTGGGAAAACTGAAAGGTGTATAGAATAATTAAGTAGACTTAAAGAGTTGGGAGGTGTTGGAGAGAAGAAAAGGAAGTGGCTGGGGCCAGGTTATGACAAACATTGTTTCTATGGCAGAGGCCTTCTACATTCTTCGAGCAAGTGGACGAGAGACTTCCCATGACCGGTTCAGGCCGAGGCCATCCTCGCTGTTCTTATTTCTAGGTCGTGGCTTGATCTCAGTGGTCTTCCTGATCATCTTCCCCATTTATCGGGATTGAGTGGATGTGTCCCGGAATTGGTTTTAATGACCCAAGCTTATAATGTGCAAAGCCACAGCTGATTTATTTATCTCAATGTGCCAAATGGATGTAATGCTATTCTGCTCAGTGTAGATAGTCTTCATAGGGCGTGCTGTACAGACCCAGTGTCTGTAGTCACAAGTCGCCCTTGACGGGCTGCAAGGAAACTAGGGTTTTGAAGGACTGTTATTGAATATTGTTATTTTACTGTCAGTGATTGTCCTTGGCTTTAATTTAAATGAAATTCCTTCATTGATACATCATATTTTCATGTTAGGTGTTTGTTTCTCAGGTATTTACAGTCATTCATTTATTCAGCTTTTATTTCCTTATAGTGGTATATTTTTTCCATTCTTTATTACATCTAAGTCACAGTAATTGAATATTTTTTTTTTCCTTTTTAGGAATACGCAGTGATCTGATCCCAGTTTATCCCGAAGAAACAGTATTTTGGTTGGAAGGAAATAATGGTCACAAGTATATGGATTTAAATAATTGACAATATATTTTAAATTGTTATTCAACTTCAGGTTTAACATCAGGCGGAAAGTAATGGTTGCCAATGAGTAGATTTAGACCATCAAAAGAGGGGATTTCAACCCATACACATTCTTCGAAAGATTCTAAGTCGTGCCTGCGTTTACAGGCATGTATTCCGGGGGATAAAGCTATTAACACTCCACCTCCACGCGTCTTATTTGTGCATATTCTGTCAGAACGGAAAACATTGTAACCGTCCGGAAATAAATTGTGATCGTAAAACGAGTCGTTTAGCCATGTCTCAGTTAAACATAAGATACTATGACCAGAGGACCAGACGCTATCGTAGAATTCGAGTTGCTTGGTTCTGAGACCTCTGACGTTTTGGTAATAAATGTCCAAAGAATTTAAGAGCTGTTTTCTAGTAGACATGGAAAAACCACCCGTGTTGACATCACCGGTGAGAGCCATTTAACTGAGTGAAGTAGCCCCATCCTCCAGAGGTTCCTCAGAAATGGCATTTGCACCTAATTGATCTGAAGGTGCGACACCTAGAGCTGAAACCTCGATAACATAAATAGTGTAGAGCAGAGAGCTCTTGCCATAGGTAAAATATTATAACACTAGAGACTGGCAACATGACTATCAAGAATTTTTCTGTCTTTATATTTGTCCACAGTTTGTCAAATAACAGAATACTTCTATAACCCAAACTTATAATACATGCCGTATATCTGTGAATAACCTTAGACACTGAGAACAGATGACCTGAAATAGCATATATGGCAATAAATTAACGAAATATTGGTTTCTGCCACATGAGAAAGATCACGTTCAATTACATTTTTCGAAACCATAGCATACCCCCACCTTCAGTGCATTTGTTGACATTTTATGTGTATCCTTGCAAAGAAGTGAACTGTATGTACACAGAGACAATATCGAAATATAAATCAAATTTCATGCACATGTGAGCGCTTACATTTAACATGACGGGATAGCGTGTTGGAAGTATTCTGCATTGATGGAAATTTACTGGTGCAGTCAGTTGTTAATCAAATTACAAAATTGACACTAACACAGAAATTATAAGCAGAGTTACAGCAGCATCTGATTTAACGTTAAAGTAATATTTTTATCCGAAAATATTATTTAAAATACTAGCATACAACAACACAGTGCAGTAATGGCTTTTAACTGTTCCACATATAAATGTCTTAATTATAATCAGAAAGACGTTTACTGTGTTTACAGGCGTGGCATCGTCTAAGGCCATTTATGATTGTCTAGAGCATATAAGGCAGAAAGAGGAGAAAGTCATTTTAATTATTTCATTTCATTGCCCCAGTATGCTGTCTAGTGTGGGTTGTCTGATGCGCCAGTTTAAAAAATCCAATGATAGCGGAATTCTAATTATAAGAATATATGGGGCCCAATATCAAGGAAATTCCGTTAGCTTCACTATTAAATGAAGTGAGAAATTTATATAATTATATATCTCTCTGTCAGTAACTAATTTGGGCTATTTATTGCTGAGACTGTACGAGTTTACATGAATATACAATTTCACTACATTATATACCTTGAAAAGTAAACGTAGTTCTACTGTAATGTAGACATCCGCGTCAAACAATTTAAGTACGTTGTCTTGGGATGCGCATTTCGTAGGTAGGGTCAGTGCAACCTTTAGTTGTTCCTATAACCATGACGTCACGTGTTCTCAGGCTGAGAACTGAAGATATGTGGATGAATCCTTGGTCGCCAACAGCATATGATGGCTGAAATTCTAGTTTTGATGTTGAATGTGGGGTTTAGAATCCCTTACAATAAATAACAGCACTGGAAACGTGTCAAGATTTTTTCAAACGTATTCCTTGCGACTTTGCTTAGTTCACTGTATTCCGTGTTGCACTAAAATACAAAAAGTATCGTTGCAGATCGAAGGAGTATCCTACCTTTACGCTAAGTAGAATCATAACTATATTGTCCATGTTATTTCAATAAATGGTCGTAATATATAAAATTTCATAAATATAATTCATAAAGTCTAATAAAATCTGCATTTATATTGCATTTACCATATAACTGTTATTTTACACTACTAAGATCAAATAAAAAAAATAACTTAATTTCACACAAAATTATAACATCCCAAACTCCGAATTCTGAATTAGTTACGTACGCTTACTGCAAATTACAAACTCACTAAACAAGCCTTTGAAAACGAAATCACTGTCTTTATGGGTTCAGTCAAGAGTTACTAGCCCTAAAAAAAACAGAGTTACGAAACACAACAGTGAGCCTTTTTCTGGAGCAACTGTGTCGGTTGCTGGAAATTATCACGTTCTGTGCACATTATGCCAACAGTCAGTACTACTATTCTTCTCAATGTTTTCCATACATTTAGATTGATTAATAAATATCATATTAAAACGACATTTAATTCGTCAGTCACAGATGATTTCTACAGTCATGCAACGGAAAGACATACACGAATAAGATTCGATTACCTCATTCCCCGTTTTAATCTGCAAGTGAAGCAAACATTATCTGCGGGTGTTAATTTGATTTAGCTGTTATGAATCGTTACGCGTTCAGTAGTGTCGTGTTCAAATATGGACATAAAGTGATGTATTGATGATTTTTGCAGAAGGAAAAACAGAATTATAGTTTTCGAGGTTTTGAATCTTTAGTATTACGTACATAGTGTGTCACGCCCTTCTGTACTACCCCGCGATCCAGCCCTCTTCGCAAATTTGTCATTACGATAGATGTCAATGTTGCATTACCAGCAGGTTACACTGAACTTTCAATGTTGGCATTGTCAACAAAGACTGCTACTGCCTCTGTTTCCCAGCCTCTACCCTAGGCCCAAATACTAGGTGTGCTGTTATCCGGCTTTGCCACTCGGTTTAGCGTTTTTTTATTTTGTCTTTTTTACCTTTCAATCATGCGTTAGTCTCTATTTACACGTTGTATCCAATATGTCTCTCGCCCTTTTATCATTCCCCAATGTCGCTTCACCCATCCCTTCTTCCGTTGTCACTGACTGTTATTGTCTTTGTAACTGTTTATGTTCATTTCACAATTTGTATCAATACCACTAGCTCCAAACTTTACAATTCTATACAATATCCACGTTATACACTGATATTTCTAAAGTTTGAAGTTTCTGTAATACTGTCCCATTCCAATATGCACACGTAAACTCCGAATATCTCGTTAGTTTTCATTTTCCCATGTATTTATTCTTTTATGCATATGTTGTAGCTGGGTCTCATCCTCCCACAAACTTTGTGTTTCGTGCATTTCGTTTCTTGTCGTGGCCAGCCTGCGGCGTTATGTTTTGTGCAGTACCGATGGGAATCATCAGGCTTGGACAAACATGGAACCATGTTCTCAGATTTATACCATTTTGTG